CCAGCCTCTGATATTTTCAGCATAGGAGTTTTATATATATATGTATATAAGTATATATGTAAGTATATATACATACATACATACATGCACACATGTGTATATATACAGGTGTATATGTATGTATATAGGTATGTGCGCATATACATGTGTACGTGTGCACACATATACATATATGCATATACATGCCCATATATGTATGCATATGCACATACATATACACACACACATATATGAAGAAACAGCAAAATCTAAGCCAAAAACACAGACTATTTTTGCTTTTACTCAGGGAGCTTCAGGAAACCACGAGTGGCTTTATTGTCACAAAAAAGAACATTTTGCCAAAGACTGTAGAAAGCTGATGTGGGACTTAAAGAATAAGAATAAGGGGAAACCTGGAAGGACTCAAGCAAGATCTATGGTATGAGGGTGAAAGGAGCAGGAACTGTAAATTCTGAAGAAGATTTTGTTTTTCCCAATCCAGATGTCCTTGCCATAGCTATCCCAGTCTTTGCCTCTCCCCACACGGTGCACCGTATGTTACTCTTAAAGTTGGAGACACATTGTATGATTGCTTATTAGAAAGAGGTGCTTCTAGTTCAGTTTTGACAAGAAGGCCAGATTCTAATTGTATGGCTACTGGGACTTAAGTGTTGTTGACTGGCTCCTCAAATGTTAACTGATGGCCTTCTTATAGTAAAATATTCTTTTCTACTTATGCCTAAATCTCCAAAGAATTTGTTAGGTCAAGAACTGCTCTGTTAACTGCGAGGCACTATTTTATGTTCCTCGATGGATCCATCGCATTACAGCTCCCTGAGAATTCCTTCTCCTTGTTTCCTATTTTGGTTCAAAATGCACAAGAAACTCCTGAGGATGGTTGGGATATTCCTGACATCCCTGACTCTCTATGGGCTGTCTCATCCTCAGATGTAGCATTATTAAAAACTGCTATTCCTGTCACCAGTAGAACCAAAGGAGGACCACCACAATCTGTTCCTCAATGTCTCTTATCAAGAGAAGCTATTGAAAATATTTCACCCATTATTGACTCTCTTAGAGACCAGAGTATTATTTTTCCATGTAAATGCCTTTGTAATACTCCTATTCTGCCTGTTTAAAAACCTTAGCCAGGCTCTGATGGTAAATCTGTTTATCACTTTGTGCAGGATTTACACACTATTAATGCCGACGTTACACCTAGACATCTAGTAGTTCTAAACCCAGGCAACATTGTCTCCCATTCCCTGGGATGTTACCTATTTTTCAGTGTTAGATTTGTGTTCAGTTTTCTTTAGCATTACAATTCATTGAGATCCTCAGTACTTGTTTGCCTTCACCTGGAAGAACGCACAATGGACATGGACTTGTTTACCTCGAGGATACATAGAAAGCCCTACCCTGTTTTCCCAAATCCTACAGCTAGATCTAGTTTCCGCTGATTTCAAGGGCTCATCTTTAAGCAAATATGTCGATGATCTCCTACTAGCAGTACCTGATGTTGAGGTTTGTCAGGGTGACAGCCGGGGCCTTCTTCAACTCCATTGACCTTGCTGTAACTTCATTAGCTCCCATGGATTTAATCACCAACTCTCTGCTGGTGATTCTCAAATATGCCTATCCTGCCCTAAATTCTTTGCTAATCCCCAATCTTGCATCTCTAGGTGTCTTTCAGACATCTTGAATCACATGTCCAGGTATTGGGCATTTTCTCTGACTGTCCCCCATGTCTGGAATGCTCTCCCTCCTCCACTCTCACTACTGACCTCTCTGGCTTCCTTTAAGTTCCAAATAACAACCCACCTTCTACATGAAGCCTTCCCTAACAACTTTTTTTTTTTTTTGCTCTTTGGTGAGACAATGGGGGTTAAGTGACTTGCCCATGATCACACAACTAGCCTAACAACTCTTAACTCTAGTGCCTTTCCTCTGTTGATTATCTTCCATTTATCCTGTATGTAGCTTGCTTTATATATTTTTGTTTGCATGTTGTCTCCCCTATTAGATTGTAAGCTACTTGAGGGCTGGGACTATCTTTTGCTTCTTTTTATAGCCCCTATGCTTACCACAATGCCTGGCACATAGTAGGTGCTTAATGTTTATTAATTGAGATTTCCACCTCTATCATCCCCACTATCTCACTTACCTTCAAATTTTCCTTGTCCACTGGCTGGTTCCCTACTGCCTACAAACATGCCTATGTCTCCACCATCCTCAGAAAACTCTCAATTGATCTGTCCATTCCAACTAGCTTTCATCTCCTTACTTTTATGGCTATACTCCTAGAGAAGGTCATTTATGATAGGTGCTTGCTTCCTTTTACTATGCCATGTACACTCAAGACAGACAGGTCATAGTGGAGAGTTCTGACAAAAGTGATCCACCAGAGAAGGAAATGGCAAACCTTTTTGGTATCTTTTCCAAAAAAACACCATGGACAGTATTAAAATGATAAAAGATGACATCAGAAGATGAGCCCCTCAGGTCAGAAGGTGTCTAACACATTATTGGATAGGAGCAGAGGATAACTACAAGTAGCTCCAGAAAGAATTAAGTAGCTGGGCCAAAGCCGAAAAGAAGCTCAACTGCAGGTATGAATTCATTATTTTGTCTTATGTAGTTTTCATTTATGATTTCTTAAAACATAGCTCAAAAAAACCAGGCTTTGATAAAGCCCATTGTGATTCAAATGGAGCTACTTGACTATGCTTTTAAACTCAAACCACTCTGGCTTTCAGTGATTGGCCAATAATAGGTCCCAGGCCAAACCTTATTTCCTCATTGTTTGGGTTTTGATGGCTCTGACTGACTGTAAATAGCAATTGTTTGTTCTGTCCAGAAAACTCTGAGGGTCAACAACCCCCAAACCCCCCCCCCCCGCCCCCCGCCGCTGCAGACTGATTGTTTTGTGAAGGCTAAGCCATCTTTTTTCCACAATTGTTACCTAGCCCTAGCCTTTAATTACTGAATGAGTGCTGCCTCAGACAAACTGAGACCTGGGAAAGACCTTAGCTTAAAAAGGTCAAGGTCTCCCACTGCATCTGGGGCCATCTTGACCTATGTCTTGTCATTGGACTCCAATGATTCTGGAGGAGAGAGTGAGACAGATGACTTTGCACAGCGATGCCTTACTTAAATCCAATCTATTTGCAAGTCAAGACATCACCCTCCTGATGTCTTTGGTCCTCTTCAAGAAATAAAGACAAACAAAAACAACAACATTCCTTGAGGTCATCTATGATAAGTGCTTGCACTTCCTTTTCTTTCACTTTCTTTTTAATTCTCTGTAATAATTCCCACTATATATCACATCTGACAAGTTCATCCAGCTTTTGTTTGATGACCTTCTGTGAAGGTGAATCTACTACCTCTAAAAGCAGTTCATTATATTTCAGGACTACTCTTTTAACAAGCAGAAAATTGCTTCTTCGTAATTTCCATCTATTACTTTTAGTTTTGCCCACTGGGGCCAATTAGAACAAGGCTAGTCCCTCTTCTCAATGATAGCTTTTCAAGTACAAAGACACACGTCTCCCCCCCCCCCCCCCCAGTTCTCTTCTCCAGGCTAAACATCTCCAGTTCCTTCAATCCTCATATGGTATAATCTCTAGGTATTTCACAATCATGGTTGCACCCTCTCCAAGCTTCCTAAAATGTTCCCAGAACTGCATACAAGATTCCAGATATTGTCTAAACAGGATACACTACAGTGGAACTATTACCTTCTTATTCCTAGAAGATTTTCCTTTTTTAATGCAGTCTAAGATAGTACTATTTTTTTTTAAAGTCTACCATATCACACTTGACTCAACCCTCAAATCTTTTCCAGAAAAACTTACCTTCTAAGAATGTCTCTACCATCTGGTACTTAATTTTTTGAATTCAAGTATAAGATTTCTTATTTATTAGTATGAGCATGATGTAAATTTTATATTTATCACTTTCTATTACTTGTCCCTGTTGGAAAAACCTTTGGTGCCCAAATAGGCACAGTAAGTTAGACAGACTCAGGATGAGTGAAGCAGTGAAACCTTTAATAAGCTTCCTGAAGGAAGCCAGTATGGAACTCAAGATGAGCACATACACACCCTACAGAATCGAGAACGAACCTTATATCCCTTTTTCCCTGGCCACAAGTCCCTCCTAGCTGACTTTCATAGGTAGAAGTCCGCACAGGTCACAGACTTCCAGAAATGCCTATCACATGTTTCCCTAGGTAAGTTTCAAGAATGCTTGCACTCTAAGTAAAGCTTAACCTTTGTCCTACTTCCAGCCTCTTTAATCAAACAACCAGTTTCTGACCCAAAGCTATTTTCCTCTCAATTTCCTTATATGGAAACATAATCGTTTCTTATTTCTCACATCCCTTACATTCTGTAATTTCATTAAGTAAGCTTTGGGAAATGGAAATGATCAAGGGTCCCCTAATTCTTTTTTTTTTTTGGTGAGGCAATTAGGGTTAAGTGACTTGCCCAGAGTCACACTGCTAGTGAGTGTTATGTGTCTGAGGCTAGATTTGAACTCGGGTCCTCCTGATTCTACCAACAGTGCTCTAACCACTGAGCCAACTAGCTGCCCCTCCCCTAATTATTCTTCACCCCCCACAAAACCCTCCACTCCAGTAAAACAACAGGCTAACAACTCTTGTGGTCTGTTGCGGGGATAGCTAGTCATGCATGGCACAGTTAGGTTTAAATTTCTCCAGCTGGGCCAGGCTTACTTTCAGCTCTCCATTTGTTCCCTAATAGACAAAAGTTAGCTTGTGATAACCAATCCAGTCAGGAATTAGGTATGAGTCAGGTTTCAAAGCAAGAATCACAATCCCACTCTGTTGAGGGCTGTTCTGCAGAGACAGCCAGGCTAAGAGGCTAATCCGTTATGAATGGTTGTTGGTAGTTTGTTGAAGCCTAAGGACCTATTCTCAGAATAATGTTTTTAAATGCATAAAAAAAAATACAGAAGATTGCAAAGGAAACCAATTATATTGAAATGCATAAAAATAATTAAAAAAAACAAAAACAAGATCACAGACCTCAAACTAGGAAGAACCTCTGCTCCACAGTGTCCATCTCAGGTGGTCAGTTCCCCTTGATTTTCCCAGTCTCATAATTGAGACTTAGCCCTGGGGACATTTCCCACCTCCATTCTCTTTTATTTCTTCTTTCGTCTCATCTTATCCCATATCCTTTACCTACCATTCCTTCCTCCATCCCTTTTCAATGAACACCTTTTTTATTTCTAAAATAATTAGTAGGGGGTAGGGTTTTGGGGGGGGAGTGAACAGAGAAGATTGGAACAAAGGTTCAACTACATATTAACATCTCGGCCAATGTACTTTAAAGTCAAATATCTTTTTTCCTCCCCACCTGATATGAGGCAACCTCATGACTGTTTTTAATTGCAAGGGGCTTCTAGATTGTGGGGCAAAAACCTTTGCCTCCTATGCCTCAAACTGCCTTGGATAGGAATTTTGTTGACAGTGCATGGAGAAACCTCCATGAATGGTTAAAATACAACCATCTATTCAGTGGCAGATCAGACTCATGGTACTCTGTGATGTGCATGGCTTAGGCATCTCAGTAGGATTGTTATCAATGTCTTCTAGGTCAGATTTCTCTGCTCCAATTTCAGTGCCTTCTTCCTGCTTGACCATGAGATTGTTTTCTAGTTGCTCTTCAGCAATCTCTAGTTCTTCCTCTGTGTGGAGAATGGAAACAGTATCATGGGGCAAATTTGAGTTGTACAGACCAAATTTAGGTTTACAACCAAACATTGCTTCATAGGGACTTTGCTGTAAGCCTGCATGAATGGCCTGGTTTTTCATCATTTGCACAAATCGAAGACCTTCAACCCAATGAAGTGAATTGTTACTCTGCATCCAGGTACTCATCAATTGTTGTACCTCCTGGTTCACTTGTTCTATCATACCTTGGCTTTGGCTGTTTTGAGGTTTTTCATGGATAAGTTTCAGGTCTGGCCACATCTGATTGAGCTCACTGACAACATGGTTTGCAAATTCTCTTCCACTGTCAGACTCCAATACCTTGGGTGCCCCAATAATTGAGAAAATGTCTAATAAGACACATGCCACCTCATGAACCCCTTTGGATTTTAATGGCCGTAAAATCATGAATTTTGTTAAGTAGTCCAAATAACTTAAGATAAATCTGAATTCCCCATCAGCATTAGACTGCATGTCAATGAGATCAACTTGGCATCTGGAGCAAATTACCTTAAAAGTCATAGGCTTTGCTACAAAACCTCTCTTGGGCACTGGATTCTTCTGATGGCACTGTTTGCACAGAGTCAGATATAATACAATGACTTCTTTTGTAACATTTCCATATTTTCCTTGCAATTCTTTTAGCATACGAGTCCGTCCACCATGTCCAATACTGAGATGTGTATCATGAAGAATGTCAAATAACTCTTCCTTGTGCACATAATACCGTATTCGATCTCGCTCTCCATGAGCTGCCTCAATCAGTTTCTCAGTACCATGTATAGTGACCACATCATACTTTGCCACACGGCGGTAGTCCCGAGATGACTTCTTCCCCTTTTCTTTGGCTTCTTTTACTTCCCTCAGTGTCTGGAAGTACTTTTCTTTAGAAAAGACCTTGCTGTTGTAACTTTTGCTTTCAACTAACTTTGTTACTCTTGCAAGGAATTTCTCTCTCATGCTTCTCATCTCCGATTCTACCTTGCTTACACTTAAGTCACTAGATTTGCCATCTCCAACACTCTGCGACATCATAGAAAACTGAAGAAATGATCCTAAGAACAAAAAAAAAATTTATTTTAAATTCATTGCAACACCCAGAGAAAGAGGGTCCCTCCCGCTCTTTCTATATGTCTTTCACCTCAACACATCTGAAGTTTTTTCCACTCATACTTTTTTGTTTTTCCACTGTTTCATCCCTACTTGAACCTCTTTAAACCAAAACATGATTTTATACGAAAAAGAAGGTGCAAAAGCAAAAAATAAACGATTGTATGAAAAGGAACCATTACAAATTATGTAGTTCTGAATATTACTAGCAAATTACCACTACTATATAAATACATGTTCTCTATGGTTGCTAGAGAATTTTACATACAAGCATTTTTTATTCTAATTGGAGCAACAGCATGGGAAATAAAGGAACTGAGAAGGAATTATACACAAAAGTTTGAAAATCAATTGGAAACACACAAAATGCTCTAAATCATAAATAATTAGAAATGTGTAGATTAAAATTCATACCCACCAAATTAGCAAAGACCATAAAAGAAGGCATCATGCTGGAGAAGCTGTGGGAATTTGTTGTTGTTCAGTGGTTCAATTATGCCAGACTCTTTGTGACCTCATGGACTACAGCACACCAGGCCCTTGTATTCCCCACTATCTCTTGAAGGCTGTCCAAGTTCACATTCACTGTTTCTGTGATGCTATCCATCCATCTCCTCTGTTGTCCCCCTTTCCTTTTTCCTTTAATCTTTCCCAACATCAGAGTCTTTTCCAATGAGCCCTTTATGTGTCGTTTTCTAATGAGTCATTATGTGGCTGAAGTATTTAGGCTTCAACTTCAATGTCTGACCTTCCAGTGAATAGCCTGAATTAATTTCTTTAAGTGTTAACTGATTTGATCTCCTTGCTGTTCAAGGGATTCTCAAAAGTCTTCTCCAGCACCACAATTCAAAAGCTTCAATTCTGTGGGGTTCAGCTTTCCTTATATTCCATCTCTCACAGTCATACATTGCTACTGGAAAAACTATAGCATTGACTATATGGAACTTTGTTGACAAGGTGATGTTGCTGCTTTTTGGTCCAGATTTGCCATAGCTTTCCTTTCAAGGAGTAAATGTCTTTAATTTCATGGCTGCAGTCACCGTCTGCAGTGATCTTTGAACCCAAAAATATAAAATCTGACACTTTCCATTTCTTCTCCCTCTATTTGCCAGGAAATGATGAGACCAGTTGCCAAGATCTTAGTTTTTTTATGTTAAACTTTAAGCCTGCTTTTATACTCCCTTTCATCCTCATCAAAAGGCTTCTTAATTCCTCTTCACTTTCTTCTATCAGAATGGTATATCTGCATCTCTTACTATTGATATTTCTCCTGACAACCTTAATTCTAGCTGTTAATTCATCCAGCCTGGCACTTCCCATGAGGTACTCTGCATATAAGATTTTTTTTTTTGCAGTTCTAAATAATATTTTATTTTTTCCTCAATTACATGTAAAGAAATTTTTAATATTCAATTTTTTAAAAATTTGAATTCCAAATTTTCTCTCTCACTTCTCCCTTCCCTGAGACAATAAGCAATTTGATATAGGTTATACACGTTCAATCACGCAAAACATGTTACCATATTAGTCATGTTGTGAAAGAAGATGCAGACCCAAAGAGGGGAAAAACATGAAAAAAATACAGAAAGTGAAAAATAGCATACTTTGATCTACATTCAGACTCCATGAGTTCTTTCTCTGGAGGTGGACAGTATTTTTCATCATGAGTCCTTTGGAATTGTCTTGGATCGTTGTATTGCTAAGTCTAGGTAAGTCATTCACAGTTGATCATCGTACAGCATTGCTGTTATTGTGTACAATGGTCTCCTGGTTCTGCTCACTTTACTTTGCATCAGTTCATAGAAGTCTTTCCAGGTTTTTCTGAAATCAGCCTGCTCGTTTCTTTTTTTTTAATTTAATTTTATTTTTAAAAATTTTTTTATTAATTTATTTCGATTTATCAACAATCACTTCCATAAGCTTTTGAGTTTAAAATTTTTCTCCCCCTCCCTCCCCAGGATGGCATACAATCTGATATAGGCTTTACATATACATGCCTATTAAAGATATTTTCACATTAGTCATGTTGTAAGGAAGAATTAGAACCAACAGGAAGAACCACAAGAAAGAGAAAACAAAACAAAACAGAAGAAAAACAAATGACAAATAGTATGCCTTGATCTGCATTCAAACTCTACAATTCTTTCTTTGGATGTGGATAGTATTTTCCATCATGAGACTTTTGGAGATGTCTTAGATCCCTTGCATTGCTGAGAAAGGTTAAGTCTATCAATATTAGTCATGGCACAACATGGCTGTTACCATGTACAACATTCTCCTCGCTCTGCTCACTTCACTCAGCATCAGTCCATACAAGTCTTTCCAGATTTTTCTGAGGTCTGCCTGCTCATCATTTCTTATAGCACAATAGTATTCCTTTACATTCATATACCACAACTTGTTTAGTCATTCCCCAATGGATGGGTATCCACTCAATTTCCAATTCTTGGCCACCACAAAAAACTGCTCATCATTTCTTTTCTTTTTCTTTTCCTTTTTTTTTTTTTGTTGTGGTGAGGCAATTGGGATTAAGTGACTTGCCCAGGGTCACACAGCTAGTAAGTGTCAAGTGTCTGAGGCCAGATTTGAACTCAGGTCCTCCTGACTCCAAAGCTGGTGCTTTATCTACTGCACCACCTAGCTGCCCCCTCATCATTTCTTCTAGCACAGTAGTATTCCATTACAATCATATACCACAACTTGTTTAGTTATTCCCCTATTAATGGATATGTCCTCAATTTCTAACTCTTTGCCACTACAAAAAGAGCTGCTATAAATATTTTAGTACAAATAGGCCCCTTTTCCTTCTTTAAAAAATCTTTTTGGAACATAGACCTAGTAGTGGTATTGCTAGATCAAAGGGTACGCAGTTTGGTTGCCTTTAGGTTATAGTTCCAAATTGTTTTCCAGAATAGTTGGATCAGTTCTCAACTCCACCAACAATGCATTAGTGTCCCAATTTTCCCACATCCTCTCCAACATTTATTATTTTCCTTTTCTGTCATATTAGTCAGTCTGATAGGTGTGAGGTAGTACCTCAGAGTGGTTTTTATTGCATTTCTCTAATTAAGAGTTAGAGTATTTTTTATATGACTATAGATAGCTTTAATTTCTTCATTTGAAAACTGTTCATATCCTTTGACAATTATCAATGGGAATGATTTGTATTCTTATACATTTGAATCAGTTCTCTGTATATTTGAGAAATGAGGCCTTTATCAAAGACACTTGCTGTAATAATTGTTTCCCAGCTTTGTGCTTTCTTTCTAATTTTGGTTGCATTGGTTTTGTTTGTGCAAAATCTTTTTAATTTAATAAAATCAAAATTGTTCATTTTATATCTAGGAATGAATGCTCTCTTATCTCTTGTATGGCCATAAATTCTTCCCTCCTCCAACGATCTGACAGGTAAACTATTCCTTGCTCTCCTAATTTGCTTTTATACTCCCTTTCATCCTCATCAAAAGGCTTCTTAATTCCTCTTCACTTTCTTCTATCAGAATGGTATCATCTGCATCTCTAAGATTATTGAGTGTTTATGTTTAAATCATGTACTTATCTTGACCTTATTTTCTCATACAATGTAAAGTGTTGGTCTATACCTAGTTTCTGCCATACTACTTTCCAGTTTTCCCAACAGTTTTTGTCAAGTAGTGAATTGCTGTCCCAAAAGTTGGAGTCTTCGGGTTTATCAAACACTAGATTACCATGGTCATTTACTATTGTGTCTTGTGTACCTAATTTATTCCACTGATCCACCACTCTATTACTTAGTAACAGATAGTTTTGATGATTACTACTTTATAAAAACAGTTTGAGATCTGGTATGAGTAGGCCACTTTCCTTCACATTTGTTTTCATTAATTCCCTTGATATTGTTGACCTTCATTCTTCCAGATGAATTTTATTATTTGTTCCAGCTCAATAAGATAATTTTTGGTAGTTTTGTATGGCACTGAGTAAGTAAATTTATTTGGGTAGAATTGTCATTTTTATTTTATTGGCCTGACCTAACCATGGCCAATTAATATTTTTTCCAATTGTTTAGAACTGACTTTATTTCTGTAAAAAGTATTTTGTAATTGTGCTCATATAGTTCGTAGGTTTGTTATTTTATTTATTTATTTTTGTGAGGCAATCAGGGTTAAGTGGTGACTTGCCCAGAGTCACACAGCTAGTGAGTGTTATGTGTCTGAGGCTGGATTTGAACTCAGGTCCTCCTGACTCCAGCGCTGGTGCTCTATCCACTGCACCACCTAGCTGCCCCTTGTCTACAGTTATTTTAAAAGAAATTTTTCTATCTCTTGCGGCTTGACTTTGTTGGTAATATATAGAAATGCTGATGATTTATGGGAGTTTATTTTATATCCTGCAAATTTACTAAAGTTGTTAATTATTTCAAGTAGTCTTTTAGTTGATTCTCTAGGATTCTCTAAGTATATCATCATATCATCTGCAACGAGTGACAGTTTTGTTTCCTCATTGCCTATTCTAATTTCTTCCATTTCTTTTTCCTTTCTTATTACTATAGTTAACATTTCTAGTATAATATTAAATAATAGTGGTGATAATGGGCATCCTTGCTTTACTCCTGATCTTACTGGGAAGATTTATCCCCATTACAGATAATGCTTACTGATGTTTTTAGATATTAATCATTTTAAGGAAAGCTCCACTTATTCCTATACTCTCTAGTGTTTTTAGTAGGAATGGGTGCTGTATTTTGTCAAAAGCTTTTTCTGCATTTTATTGAGATAATAATTTTCTGTTGGTTTTGTTATTAATATGCTCAATTATTCCCCCCCTCTCTTTCTCTCTCTCTCTTTTTCTTCTTTCACCCTGTCCCTCACCAGTGTTTTGCTTCTGACCACCTCCTCTCTCAATCTGTCCTCCCTTCTATCGGCCCCACTATTTTCTTCTCCTTTCCCCCTTCTACTTAGAGGGT